TTCTCTGCCACTGCGCTTGCCCCTGGGTGCAAAAACTGAGCCTTTGGGTCTCCTGATTGCTAGGGTCAGTCTACTGGACATATTCTTTTCCCTTCCTACACCCACAGATATTGTGTGTATTTCTGATTAATTTTTGAGATGATCAGCAGGTTTAAAGTCTTTTGTTACTGTCGTATCATTTGCATACATAAATAGCAAGACTAGCTTGGCCTTGAACCAACTCTTTCCCTTCTCTCCTATTCTTCTCATTTCATATCCCTCTTTAGATCATTAGAGCTTTGATTTTTGTAGATGGCAATAAGCTTTCTGAACTATGTGCTTTCTTATTTTATATACTTGGAGAAAACAAACTTGTGAAAGTACTGTAAGGATTTAATGCCAGTGAAGAGTGTAGTAATGAGAGGATGCCAGCTATTCCGTGTTTTAAGACTTTCTTTATACAAAGATCCACCATCAGTGGTTCTCTTTTCTCAAGATCTGGCAGAAAGACAAGAGTAGTATCATTAATAACCTCTGCTCTCTTACACACTTTCAGCCATCACACAAGATTTTTTACTTTACTGGCCATGATAACACTTAATCCATTATTTAAATTGTTTAGCTAAAGGTGAAGTTCTATGAATGATTTGTTAGGACCTCTTCAAATGGTCTTTTTCTGAATACTATCTTCATCTAGTCACCCAAGTCATTAAGAAACAATTTTATAAGAAAATTTTGTCAACATGAAATTATTTTGTGGGGATAGGTTAAAATTGTCTAGATTGCTTTCTTTACCCTTTCCTCCCAAAAGCTATAAATAGTACCTTTTTAGTGAACTAATTCCACCTTCAACCAGAGATTCTCTGGCCATGATTGGTCCAACACTCTAACTTCATAGATAGGTTTCTTAGATTTTTGACTGGTCCAAATTATATAAATTATTCATATGGCTGAGCATAAACCCAACTAATCCATATTTCATGACTTTTGTACTTTAACTAAAACCTACCTCTTTCCTTAGAATGTTTGCAAAAAATAATTTTTAAAAATCTTTTTTTCCTATATCTACAGGTAAACTTGAGGGTTGGATAAATCTTTTACACCAAATTGCACATTTCTAAATATACATATTTACATATGATGTTAATATGTACATTTTCCCATATACATTAGTATCTGTACTCTCATTAAACTCATCCTTATGTTCTTTTCTTGAAATCTAATCTAGGAGAGCAAACTTTTCCATTTAAATTAATTCTTAAATCAAATTTTTTTCCTTTTATTTTTCTTATTTAAAAAGTGCAACCATGTTAGGCATGGTGGTGCATGCTATAATCCCAGCACTCAGGAGATTGAGGCAGGAGGATTGCTGCAAGTTCAAGGCCAGCCTGGGCTACATAGTGAGTCAAGAGCAGTCTGAATTTCATAGCAAGACTGTATCAAAAAAAAAGAAAGAAAAGAAAAAAAAGTCCAACCTAGTTCTGTCTTGTTAAGGATTGCCAATTGTCATCTTTTTTTTTTTTTTTTTTTTGGTGGTACTAGGGATTGAACTCAGGACCTTGCACTTGCGAGGCAGGCACAGTACCACTGAGCTAAATCCCCTGCCTGCCAATTGTCATCTTAAGTCAACCAATTGAATATTTGTTTAGTTATTTCATTTCCTTACTTTCAAATGCAAAATGTTATTGAGAGAGATGATTTTTCTTTACTTGTCAAGAAAATACTCTTTAAAAAAAAAATCTACTAATTGAATTACCTTATGAAACTAAGAAAGTAATTCAGTGGTCTGGCCAAAATATTTTTTTGACCAATGGTCCCTTTCTGAATAAATAGTTGAAAGTAATTTTATTATCATATATTTGTACATATTTTAAAGCAGAGCTTCATGGAGAAAAAAATTGTTTACTTGTGCTGAAATACAACCCAAACCCTCTGATGAGAAACAAGAATACATTATGAGGCAGCTGTTGAGATGGGCCTAATAAAAGTGTAGCTGTTAAAAGTGGACAGTCTGTATTCCATGTGTGAGGAAGCAAAAGACTGCTACTTTAAAACATATGAACAACTGTTCTACCTTGCGTTTGTTCCTCTGTCTCTACATTTTCCCATCTGTGGGAATCTATCCATATACATTTAGTTCTTGTTTCCTCAGAAACACATATTAGAATGGAAATGTTGGAAGGTTTTTGTAGTATAAGATGCACTGAATCAGAGAATACTTAAGGAGAAGCTGGTTTTGCTTCCAATACATTAACTGTGACAGGTGTTTTAAGTCCCTTTCCCTGTCCCCGTTCATAGACAGTGATCCCTGCTAGCCATTTTCTTCCTTTCTGTTTCTTTATAGCACACTGCTCTCTGGAGAGCTGATCTAGCAGTTGTGTCCAGGATTTGTAAAGAGACCTGCTGGGATAGGGATTGGGAGTGTGATGGACAGATCATGTGTCCCCCACCTTTTTTTTGCCCAGTAGAAAAGGCATGATTCACCCCAATTCACCTTCTAAGTGGCATAATAAACTACTCCTAATTCTCATTCTGTGAAAAGCATGCTTGCATCCAAAGGAAAGAAAAGGCTGGTGGGCCCTGTCGCGGGCTTTTTTGTATGATTGTTTTCCTTCCACAGCTGTGTTTTTTGAACTGCTCTTCCTGTGTTCTGTTATAGAATAGTCTTACAGGAACCAATCATTAGCGCTAAAATACCTCAGGTAGGAGTGCCAGTGTGACCTGCCAATCAATCAGATTGTGGATTGCAGTGAAAAAATTGAATTATACTAACCATTCCAGCTCCACGTTAGAGATGGGAACAGAGGCTCTTTTGGACAATCAAGACTTGTGAGCGTGTGATCTAAGCCCTGCTACCTCAGCAGTGCACACAGTCACTTTCTAGGCATAATGGCATTTCCTCCAAAATCACGTGCTCCTGTCCCACTGCCATATATCTGCACCAGGTGTGTTACACACACTGTCCCATCACTGCTGCCTCTTTTAATTTGCCAATCACATTTGCCCTTGGTATTTTATATTGGAGATCTTAATGGTGGGTACATTTTCTTAATGACTGTGAAAGAAATATAAAAAGGGAAGAAGTAGAACTCTATCCAAATAGGACTCGGTTGAGTCCCACATCGGGTCCTGAAGTAAAATCCTAGTAGTGACTGGACTATACTACTGCTTAAGTTTGAAGTTGCTTTGAACTCAGAAACTAAGATGTGCTTTTGTCTTGCCTTCTCCTTTCACATGGGAAGATCAGTGAGTTCATTTGACTAATAACAAACTTCTTAGGAAGTTTGCTGATGGCTGGGTACTAGAAGGAATGTTTTTTCATAGTTTAGTTATTTTATGTGGCTACCCAGTGAGATTTTTAAAATGAACTGATTTTTAAAATGAAGATATGTGGAATAGTAAAATGTTTGAAAGATTTGATTCATTAAAGATCCTCTCTCATCTGTCATAGAAGTAATAAATTGAAGATACCAAGTTGATCATTATAATTTCTTCCCTTAATCCCAATTTTAAATAATAATAAAGTGAAATATAATTATTACTTTTCAGAATAGATAGATCTCTGTCAAAAACAGTAACTATAATACCATTATTGTATAGTTTTTTGAATTTGGGACTGTGCTATTCACGTTTACTCATAGGTGCCATATTGCCACGTAAGAACTCAATAGTGTTTCCTAAAGCAGTGATTTTTCAGCTAGGGTGGGGAAGCAGTGAGGAAAAAGGAGGTAGAATCATCTAGGGGCAAATAAAGTGACTCCCAAGGGTCCAGCATAAGTTGTTGCTAATTGGAAGAGACCTCTCCTCTGCTGCAGTGTTTATGAGCATCACAGTCATGTTCCCCTCTATACATGTGCACACACTCTCCTTGCTGTGTTGATCTGGTACACTACATGGAGGTAACAAACTTTCATTTTGTCTGCTGGTCTTGAAACACACACCCTCCTTCCTCCTCAGTGTCACATGATGTCATTGTCTTTCAGGTAGAAAGAAGTTGTCTTGACATCACATGCTCACCGAAGTCCTGTTTTAATGTAAACTTAAAACAAAAATGTAGTAATATTAAAGGTGAGGTTAAAATTGAGACAAGGCAAAAGTCTGCCAATGTGAGATTAATAAAACCAGTTTAAGATTGAACTGTATGCAGATTAATGTCACATATAGAGGGGTGATATTTAGAACTCATCCATTGTGTTCTAATTTAAAACACAGTTACAGAATTGTGCAAAAGAATTATGCAGTATGGAAACATCATCAGGTTAATTCGATGATAAAAATGAATTTAGAGCACAGGAGAAAATCCCCAAGTAACATCAAGCCTTGGGAAACTGAGGCTTTGATATAACAGCTTCAGAAGTCATTAAAAAGGACCTTAAAGGCCATAGCATTTCCCTTTGAAAAGTTAAAGGCAGATATGTTCCAAATATGTAAAAAAATTTCTTAAGTACAGGAAATATTTGAGAAGAACACTGTGTATCAGAATATATGGTTGTTGGCAGGAGGTGAGCATACACTTGAGTGCTGTGGGTCAGGATTGAATTACATTGTCAGGGCCAGACAGATGGAAGAGGGGAGTAATATAGTTACCCTGTTTGGGAAAACTAGGAGTCATTCAAAATGAATTGCCAAGGAATAAGAAAGTAATTATTTTTCAGTGGGTATGAGCATATTTGAATCAGGCTTAGCCGTGCCAGAATTATGCAGCCCTCAGTTCCAAAAAGCTGTCTGTGTGCCCTCCTACATTAGGGTGTGCTGTGGCCATGCTAATCCCCATTTTTTGTTTTATTTCAAATCACACACAGATAGAATCTGCAAACTGCTTCAGATCAAACAGGTCTGATTGTGTGTAAATACATATGTCCTTTTTAATTTTTATTATTAATGGTTGCTTCAGTTTTGCATCAGTGCATGGTTAAAAGCAATACACATCAGCTATTCATGACTTCATATCTCCAAATGAATTATTTCTCCTCTTTTTTTTTGTTTGTTTGTTTGTGCAGTCAGCTGAAGAAATGTTAACATCTCACTCTAAATCTCTCAGTGGAGTCTCTGTTCCCTTCTCTGATATAACAGATGGGTTACTGCTTGTTATAATTATTAACATTGTGGTGTGGGCCAGGGCTCGGGTGGGCAAGATTTACTCTTCCTTTGGGCTGGGGTGGGGCCAGTTGTTAGGGTATGGAATGTTAACTCAAGGGGTGACTGACTGTTTCCGTAATACCAGGTCGTTGTGGCTGCACGCTCTAGTAATTGAGGCTGTGTACTTCACCAAGCTTGTGGTAGAGCCTAGGGCAAACTGCTGTCCCAAGAGAATGCTGGGATAGATAGAGTTAGCCAATATGAGTCTGAACGTGGTGATTTTGCTGGTCGTTTTAGCTCCAGATGTTGGCATGCTTAGTTTTTAATGTGATTAATAAATGTGGCGCCATATTCCCTCCCCACGCCTGAGCCCTCTCTCTCCTACCCCCTTCCCACCTTGTTCTTTTTGAAAAATTTAAGAAACAATAATGTAGACCTTGGTGTTTCAAACTGCACATCGTTCTCATGTTCTATAAAGGCCTTTGTAGTTGGTGGTAGAAGTGAAAGTTGAGAAAACAATTTCTCAGCCTAGAATCTTCATGCACTCTAAAATCCAGAATATAAATAAATTGGTCTGGATTTTATCCTGTATTTTTGTGATATAAATTGGATATAAATAACCAATTTAAGCAGGAGCAGGAATATTTCGGAGGAAAGATACATCTCTAAGAGATAAATCCATAATACACAATTTAATTTTTCTTGTTTGGGGAGTAATCATTGGTGAATTACAAGATTAGTTAATCAGGATATTACCAACCATCCTAAGCATAGCTCTCCTTTAAAAGACTTCTCTATAATACCATTATCATAAAGTTATTAGGAGAGTAGACATGTGGAAATATACTATTAATGTTGTTTTACTTAGTGCTGATACTCTTCCTGACCATTTTGTTATAAGTAAAATATTTTCATCCATGTCCTGTTTCATGAATTTGCATCACAGAGAACCTCATCAAGTTCAGCACCAGAGTCAGAATTTACTTATAGAAGAAGGAAACTACTGCCAGAATCTACCCATTCTTTCTGGATTGTAAAAAATATTCTTTCCCACAGTCTGATCCATTTTGAATGGTTTGGATTGACAGTGACAGTACTCCTAAATTCAGCACTGAGGGACTTCTGACCTCTTGCATGCAAAGAAAATGAGTGGTAGGAATCCTGTCAGGAACCTCACTTAGAACCTCTTTTTGCCAGGACTAGTAGAATTCAGCTCAAAGCCACGATTTGAATGAATCTTCACAGAGAATATCTCTACTCAGGCATTGTGGGGGCCAGGTAAGGACGCTTGCCCTCCCCTCCCTCTGTACTGGGATTGAAATTTGAAATTAGCGCTGCTAAACTGCATCCCCTGCATACTAAGTTGCCCAGGCTGAGTGGACTCAAATTTGTAGTCCTCTTGAGTAACTGGGATTACAGGTGTGCACCACTGTGCCCCGCTGTCAAGTGAAGACTCTTAAGCCACAGAGTCCCTTGAAGAGAATCTATACCTCTGCCCTAGGTGGATGCCCTAGTTTTTAAGTGCTTTACCTAGGTAAACATGAATCAGGCTTTAACTCCCTTTATTACCTTCACATTTAAAATTTTTGAAGATTATTTTGGTGTTTAAAAAAAAAGATTATTTTGGTGTTTGAATTATCATTATTTACAGAAAATTTTACTAAAGATAGCTCTGCTGTAGGCCTCACACAGGCCCTAATTCTTAAGATTTCTAGTTATAATCACTTCAGCTATGGCCAGGCATGTGGTACAACTGTAATCTCAGCCATTTAGGAGCCTGAGGTGGGAAGATCAAGTTCAAGACTCGCCTGGGTAACAGTGAGACTATCTCCAAAAAATTTATTTTGTCAACTGTAACTTTCATTTTGTTTTTAAAAATGCTTTTACTGCTTCATGTCATATTTAGAAGCTTAAAAAAATAAGTGATGCTTCAGTTCACGAACTTGATTTGTACTACAATTTTGGAAAAGATGACGACCATGGTCATGTTTGTCACCCGATGCAGAATTCACAAAAAACAAAATTTTGCCAAATGCTTCTATTTGCAAACCAAATTGTTTGCAAACAAAAGTGTTCGTGAACATACCACTGTACTTTAGTTAACTGTATGTTGCAGTCAGCATATAGTTGCACAGCTTTCCCAAGTCAGTCTGGCCTGCCATTCCCAAAAGACCAGGCTAGAATTCCAAGGAATTGTTGGTTGCAAACCAGCTCTGTAGGATGTTTCCTGCTGTACCTTCACCCACTTCCATTTATTGCCAGTGTTTAGTAATACTAATTATAATCTCCTGACTTTCATACGTATGTATAGAAAACTGTCAGTGAAAAGAAATATTTCCTTTTCCAAGTCACTGGGTGAACAAAAGAAGAGTAACATGAGCCGGAGATTTAGCTCAGTGGTTCCACCCGAGTTCAATCCCCAGTACCAAAAACAAAAACAAAACAACAACAAAAAAGAGTAACATAACTCCTGGGAGCCAGTGAAGTAATTTTTTAACACACAGCATAAACTTAAAAAACAAGAGTGAATTTTCCCTCACATTGCAGTTTCTTCAGTGAGAAAAGCATAAATTACATGAGAATGAAGCAGAAACATTTAGTTTATAAAATTATAGACATTTCTAAAATAAGATTTAACAGAAATAAAAGAAGCAAGATAGAAGCTTCTCCAAAAAGGAATGAGTCGTCTCATTAGAAAATACGTGTTTTCAGTCCTAAGCAATGATATAGTTACAAATTTGAACTTTCTTTGATAGATTTAGCAAAAATTGAATGTTTGGAAAAAATACAAAGTAAAGAGCTTAGGGCTAAGGATAAAGTTTTAAAAAAGAAAAGAAAGTAGAAAGTTTCAAATGTCAGTGAGAAATGGACATACCTAATCTACAGAAATAAAATGGTTCTACTATTGTTCACTACTGAAATGATATCCAAATGGACCATTCGAACAGCATCTTTCATAGTAAAAGGACAATAATAAGAATTTGCATCTGAATTGGGTTTAGGTAAAATAGATGAATTCTAGAAGTGTAAAGAAAAATTAGGGCTTGCCAGATTTGGTAGCACATTTGTGTAATCCTAGCTGCTCAGGAGGCTGAGGCTGGGGGATTGCAAATTTGAACCTAGCCTAGACAACATAGCCTCTCTATAAATACGTGGGCTTGCCATTGTTTTCAGTAGCTTGTCTCAGGGCATTTGTTGTGGTGCTTATCTTTGAAGTACTTTCTTAAACAGGACAGACATATGGTTCACTTTAAAGTATTTGATTCATCTAAGAGAAGTGGAATAGTTCCATATCTATTTGAATCCAACCAAAGACCCCTCAGCCATTTGTAATCTGGTTTGCCAGAGTCTGAAACCGACTGGAGTGGGCAGACTTTCTGTAAAGGGCTAAGCGGTAAATATTTTTGGCTTTTTAAGCCATACTATCTGTTACAACTATTTTGAAAAACAGTTGGCAAGTTGCATTAGCTCCCAGGGCCAAAGTTTGCTGACCCCGATCTACTTTGTCCTTTCCTTCTAAACACTCCCTGATGATCTTAGCCTCTTGGCAAACACCTAGGCCAGTGGAGCAGAGCTCTCTATCAGACCTTTCTGTGATAAACTCTAGTATCTTTGTAATGAGTCAATCCAAGTGCTTCAGAGAATATGAGGTTAACCCATGTAAATGTAACGTATTTTAACTGTTTTTACATTTCTTGTCAGAGTTCTTGCAACATTCTGTGAATGTTTTCTCTGTTCAAAGTTCCAACAAAGACTGTGAAGTAAGACAGATCCAAAACCTTATCTTTATTTCTTAAAATTAACAGGTACTATCTATATAGCTTATTTTTGCTACTGTCACAAATTGGAAAGTAAATTCCTGCATTGGGTAGAGCTTAATTGCCTGTCAGAGGAGTAACATGCAGACTGATGCAGTTTGAAACATTTTCTTCCCATGTGTGTATCTGTGTCTGTGTGTCTCCGTGTCTACATGTGTGTGTCTGCGTGTGGGTGGGCACGTGTGTGTCTGTCCTGGGGGAAGGTATCTGTAAAGTCAGTTCTCTTCTCTCCTGTAGGGTGGATATGCAGCCTACAGATATGCACAGCCTGCTACTGCAACTGCAGCCACAGCTGCTGCAGCCGCTGCAGCCGCTTACAGCGACGGGTAGGTACAGGGTGGAGAGTGAGCACACACCATCCATAGTGCCACCTCCTTTTCCTCCTTCACCTTTTCCAAGGCAGTGCTCTGGCCATGCGCTTCCTGGCAGTCTGATCTTAGTGGCCTCTGTCGTGCCAAAGCACAGACACTGGCTCCTCCCCAATCCCGCTGTCTTGGTCTTGTCTCTTTCTGGGCTTTGACTGAAGTCTCCCTCTTCCTCACTTCCAACTCCCTTCTCTTCCATTTCATAGAAGTACTCCAGAATTTTTTAGTTATTGTGTTCAAGAGTAGAAATAGAGACCAGGGATTTAGCTTGGTGGTTCTGCTGGCAAGCACAAGGTCCCGAGTTCGATCCCCGGTACCAAAAAAAAAAAAGAGTAGAAATAGAAAGATTTTTTCCATTCTTCCAGTTTTCCTGATAAAAGTCCAAGACCTAGTAGCACACAAGGTGTTAGCACAGTAAACTCTAATTTGCTTAGATTACAGTCTTGCTTTTACCTCTCTGATTTGTACCTCTTTTTTCCAGTTATGGCAGGGTGTACACAGCTGACCCCTACCATGCCCTTGCCCCTGCCGCTAGCTATGGAGTTGGCGCTGTGGTAAGTATATACATACCTTTTTTCTTAAACCTTTTTACTCCTCCTAACCTTTACCTACAGACTGTAAAAGATCTAGGGAAGTGATAAATTCAGCCCTTTGTGCATTTCCAATATGTTAAAACCAGATAGATCTCTCTGAAGATAGGCACCCATCTTTATTGTGTCCTACAGTATTGGCTAAGTGGCCTGTAAGGGCAGCAGAAAGGGACAGGTAGTGACAGTCTGCCCTGAGTAATGGCATCATTAGGAGAGAAGTAAGGGACATTTTGTATTAATTCAGATATTGAGTGCACACCAGTTACGTGGTGTGACTGACAGGTATTGGCAGACTCAGGAATATGAGGGTCTCAGTTTTCACAGTACGCTTTCCAAAAACATTAATGTATATAAATTTTTTAAATTGCAGATGCCAAAAGATTCCTCTGCTATTCCTAAACTTTTTGATAGATAGTAGGAATGCCAAATGAATACTTCATAAGATATTTTATCAACAACAGTTGTGCCAAAATGTGGTATTTGTATGGAAATGTAGAAGTCCATAGAGCTTGTCTGCAGTAGTCCACTCTGAGCAGAACTCGTGTTGGCTTGGAGGAAAGCCTGCCATGCCAGTGACTAGGATTCACTGGTGACAACAGAGGATGAATACTCCACAGTGACACTGCTAATGCCAGGCATTCTCCAGTTCAGCAACTGCTTGTGAACTTGGGCACAGTTATTCAAATTGGGGGGAGGGCATAAAAGTTACAAAAGAAGTATAAAAGTATAAAACAGTTGTGAAAATGCCATTTCTCACTCAGAATTCCAGCTGATGCAGGTTTGGGAAAGGAAGTAGGATCCTCAGGGACTGTATATTTAGATTGAGGTCAAGACAACAATATAAAGACAGTGATGGAGGTTCCTGAGGTCCTATTGAGTGTCACATTATAAAGCTATTCTAAAAGAATGACCCAAAGAAAGATACATTCCTGGGGAATTTCTCATTCAAAGAGGTAAGCCATCAGATAAAGACACTTGATGAAAGAAACAACCTAATACACAGTCCTTCCTATCCATGGGTTCCACATCTATAGATTCAACTGAAGTATGAAGAGGGAAAAGTTGTGTCTATAGAATGTGCACAGACTTTTTCCTGTTATTACTTTCTAAACAATGTAGTGTAACAGTGGTTTACATAGCATTTACAATGTCTTGGGTACTACAAGCAATCTAGAGATGATTTAAACTATATGAAGATATGCATTGGTTATATGCAAAGAATAAATAAACCATTTTATATCAAGAACTGGAGTGTCCACAGGTTTTGCTATCTGTGGAAAGTACTAGGAAATTGATACCTCACAGATACCGAGGAATAACTGTATTTTATAGTGTCAGTTTTATTAGTTGAAAGGTTTGTGGGGGTTTAACTGCAGCATCATCTCAAATACAGGATGGGAAGTAATGCATGCCTTTGACAGGTCATGTGTGAGAAGGGGAAATCAGCAGTCTGTTCTCAGTCAGGGTTATAATGATGTATCAAGGTGATCAAAGACTTGTGCTTATAAAAACCACACTATTGCAGAATGACTTAAACAATCTTAAGTTTCCCTCCTGCACTGATCATGTAAATCATGAAGTAACTATCATTACACTCCCCTGGAGACTACAGCTTAGCAGCATGTGCGAGGCTCTGGTCTGAGCATCAGAGGCAGAAGCTGGGACATCAGTCAGCCTCTGCTCAGTTGCTTTGAGATGTCAAAGGGCGCTTCCTCAGGACTTGTTTCTTCATTTTCAGTTCTTTCCTCATCAACCTTTTAATTATTTTTATGTCTTTGATTGCTGCAGGCGAGTTTATACCGAGGTGGCTACAGCCGATTTGCCCCCTACTGAAGTGACGTGAGACCCCTGCAAATGGGACAGCCCCCAGTCATGAGGCCTGGCTATTGCAATATTTACTAGTAGAGGAACTCTATAGCAAGATGAAGAGGAAAAACAAACAAACAAACAAAAAAAACAAAAAAAAGAGAGAATACTTTTTTATACCTCACTATGTTCTTTGAATATGTATTTTTCCTTTAAATTTTCTGCCTTTAATTCTTTTGTTCCAAAGATTGTGCATTTTTCCTTTTTTTTTCTTTTTTTTAACTGTGGTTAAAAAAAAAAAAGATAATGCATTTCCATGTCTTTATGTCCGTGCTTAGCTTATTCTATCAATCATGGAAGAGGCAGTTAATGAGGATGGAGAGACATTAGTAGCTGATGAAGGCATTTGATCAGAAATCAGCAGACAGAATTACCAAAGTGTGTCTGGTGCTGAGTGGCTGGGGGACAAGCAGAAGTGGAAGAGATCTTTCTGCAACAGCATATTCTTCTAGTCTTCTGAATTTCTGGTCTGTGGCAGGTGGTTCTGATTGGCTGTGGCTAGAATCCACGTGCCAATAGATAGGAATCTGTGTTTTCAAAGCAAGAGAATTAAAAAGACACTTTCCTCTCCTCTTCCCTCCTGTCTTCTCCATACTTTCCACAGTCATCTTAGCCTGAGTCAATTGGCATAGTTTTTGGAATTACAGCATTGATATTTCCAAATACGCTCTCAGGCTGAATAATAAACACCTCATTAGGAAATCGATCTCAGAATAAATTCTGGAATATAAAAACACTCATTTCTTTTCTTTCCTGTAACCCTAGCATTCCTGCTAGGCTTCTGATCCCCTTTAGTTGATCCACAGCTTAGCTCATGTATTCTTTTATTAATATGCTGTTCCCATGTCCTCAAGATTTAGGAATTTAGGACCCAGGGACAGAAGAATGAATAGCTAGTGGCCAGATTTCCTCCAGGTATCTGGGCACAGCTTGAGGATTAAAAGTACAAAGTGTTAAGGGCCATTAGAAAGGCTGCAAAAGAGAAAAGGAATACTAAAAGGCCTGTATTTCTTATCTTGCATCAGAAAGTAGTACAAACGAACTATTTAAAAAAAAATCTTCTAAAGAATCTGTTGGAGAAAGACAAGGCACCAAGCCCAGGGGTCAGCTGTCCCTGGAAGTTTTGGTGATGAGGACATGTGAGGGCAATCAGGGGCACTTTGTACTTGCTCCAAAGCCATAGGAATTTTCATCTTCCAGAGCCTCTCTGAGTTACTTCTCCACCCAGTCTCCAGCCCTTGTGGCCATTGCACCCAGCTTCTCATTATTCTCCAGAGAAGCCCAGCTGAGCACCTGGACTACCTGTTGTATGTTAACACTACAGGACACATGCTCCAGAGCCCACACTGGGAAGAGGGTGTGACTTGGCCAGGATCCTCCTGCAAGGCTGAGGCAGTGAGTCACTGGTCTTGCTGTCTGGCTTTGGTTTTAATGTTATCAAGGTCAGGGAGAAAGTGCTTCTCTTCCAGCTCTGAGATGGAACTGATTAAAACAAGTGTCCTACAGCATTTCCCAAAATGGCATTAGGAAATAAGAAAAGCATGGTCTGCTTGGCTCCCTGGTCAGTTCACATTGGTACTAGGGTGACCTTTCACCCAAGGGATAGCTGCTAAACGGAGTGATTCAGAGACATGGAGCTTCTGCTGCGTTATGGGTTTGGTTTGGGTTCTTTTTTTTTACTCCTGCCTCCACATGTGTTTTTGACTGATAACTGATTCGTGTCCCTGAATTAAAATGGCCGATGTATGTGTGACAGCATCAGGCATTCTTTGTAAGCAGAGTGCTGTATCTGGGAAGGCACTAGCCTGTCCTTTGTGACACACCCCCTCACTCCTTCAGATCTTCTGTCCTGATACCTGGGGGAGAGGATCTGCACGAAATGAAGGGAGATGCCAAGGGAGCTAGAGGCCTTGATGCAATCATTAACCCTCGGGGGAATACACAGAACAGGGACAAGCCTGCCCAGTGCTTTGGCTGTTTATAGAGTCCCTTCCCCCCAAGCCAAAGTTTGATTTGTGGCTGTTAAGACAATTTTTGTTGTATGTATATAAATATTTTAGGGGAGGTGGGATATGATGTGGAGCTTTCACAGTTCTAGGGAATGGGGGCAGGGAGGATTTTTCTTTGTTTCTTTTGCTTTTGTATTGAGGGAGAACTTTTACTAACTAAAGAAACAGAAATTTCGGGTCATGTCCAGCAAAGCCTTTCTCACAAAATGGCAAGCCACTTAACCGAGTAAAGACTAGGCCAAATCCTAAATGGTTGTATCCATAGCAGGGGAGGAAAACAGGGGAATGAGTTTAAGAATGTTTTTCTTATTTTCTCCTAGACAAAATTAAGGATGATGGGCAAGGTAGAGAAGGTAGATTCCCACAGTCCTTCCCAAATAGGCAGATGGTGGAGCTTGAGGGACCTTTTGTGCTCTTCAGTTCAGCTGGTTCTGGCTGAGGCCTCCAAGGCAAGCTCCATTTTCCAGTAGGTTCTGCTGCATCTCCCAGAATGCTTTTTAATGCCACTTCCTCCAGCTCCCTTTTCTAGGAAAGATTAAATGGGGTTCTACTTTTTTATCAAAAGGTATTTGTTTTCAGGGTCAATGCTGAGAATTGGGATTCTCCTGAGCATCTAGATTTCTAGATGGTGTCAACCTCCACATGAACTTTGAACTTTGAGATTCCTTACAGTCAACTTCACCAGAGGCAGGTTCCTCAGAGCAGCAATGCTAGTTTACTCTGTTTCTTACTGAGTTCAGAAACAGGGTCAGAGGAGTTTGGCATTTTGTGAATTCATTCAAGGATGCTGGTTGATATTTCCAAAAAACTTACTGATGCTGAATCACAGTACATGAATGAGTTTGTTCAGCTTTACTGTAGTTCATGACCTGGACTTACTATACCGAGCACCTTATTCTCAGAAGCTGGGCTCCTTTAAGGAGACCTCTAGTGAAAACCTTTATCTGGATACTCCTCTTTCAGCCCAGAGAGCTGCCCTTAGGGCTTCTCCAGAATTCCATGTGTTACTTAGTTTAACTGTTGTGAACTCAGATCCACCATTGTGATTCACCATTTTTAAGGCTCTCAGGCGTAACAAAACCTATCACCACCATCCTCTGGCACCCTCAGTCTCAATTGAGCCAATACATTTTCTTTCTTTAAAAAAGCAGACTGGGGCTCAGCTTATAGTTTAAGGGGAGCTCATGGCAATCTAGTCAGTAGAAATCAACAATAACAGCTTTTCTCCACATGTGGACTCCTCAGGGGCTGAACAGCTCCTAATTTAGGTTATCCTGTGCTAGAGATGGAGCAGATAAGCCAGCTGTCACCACCATCTTCTCGCTGGCCATGTAGCTTCCAGACATGAGGGACTGTCAGGCAGGGATGGAAGCAGCCCCAAGGATAAGATAACCCCCTTCCCTTTGGCTTGGCAGGAGAACAAGGCCGACCAAGAGACAGTCTGGAAAGCACTTAGCCATTTAAGGAAGGAGAGGGGAAACTGATGAACCTTCCCCTTTAGCCCAGTGCAGCCGGTTCTCTGCTGCTTGCAACCCTCTAGCACAGTAACATTTGCAGAATTGTGGATTTTTTTCCCCCACAGATAATAGGAGGAAAGGGATTTTAGGGTGGGGTGGGGAAGGGGTTGTGGTGTTTTAAAAGCATAAGTTACCTGTTTGCACTGTTTTAAGATAGGAAAAAATAGTGGGCAAGGTGAGCATCAAATGTAAGCTTGTGTGTTTCATTTTGTCACGCTCTTGAAAATGTCTGACATTTGTAGTATACACCAGTGACACTTGATTCTCTGTTGCATAAAACACTATATATTTTTGGGAAATGTTCCTGTCCAAAAGCCTCTTCCTTCCCTTTCCTTTTCCTGTGTACTTCATCCTTGCTTTACTCATCAGCCAGGCAATAGCCATCCACGAGCTAGAGTGTGAAACAGGGCCCTTTCCAAGCAGGCTCTGGGTGTCCTAAGCCAGCGTGTGTCCTCTGGGTTACTGAGTATGGTAGAGTCCCTGGAACCTGTCTTTAAAAACAAGGTTCACAGACCAGAGTGCAGCAAAGTGTCACTTTCCTCAACGAGACACTAGGAATGCAGCACCAAGGAGTGGAGGGGTTCCTGAAGTATTGCAGTTGGCTGTAGTAGCCGAGTTCTTACCCATGTTACCGAAACTGTGGCCAGTTACAGTTTACTCAGGAAAACGGTAGCTCATTCAGCCATGGTAGTGCTGGTTGGCAGGGATTGGTAACTGAGAGAACTGCTCATCAGCCAGAACTCAACCCTTGCCTCTAAGGAGACCATCAGCATTGGGACTTGGTCCTCTGTCTGGTAGTCACATACATGCCAGTGATGGTGACATGAAGGCTCCACTCACCCTGGCAAGAAAAAGGGAATAGCGATTCTCTTTTCCTCTCCAACCCCTTCCCCTGTTAGCAACACCAGATTCCCAGGGGGCTATATAAGTTTTTGAAATTTTTCAAAAAATGTTTTTTGGTTTGGTTATTCTGGAAACTGAGAAGTGCTTTAAGCGATGTCTACACCCCACCAAGACTCCCAAGCTTAGTCTTTTTTTTTTTTGGTATTATGTTCACAGTATTTGTGTGTGCTTGTTTTGGCAGCTCATTTTGGCTGATATGTATGTGTATGTGTGTGTATATATATATATATATATATATATATATATATATATATCGAGTGATGAATTGATCTGTTTTTTTTCCTGAGGGACATGAATTTTTTTTTCTTGTGTTATCATTCTGCTTGTGAATAGCTGGAGCCAAGTTGGGGCTGACGTGTAAGCTAGGGCTGCAAAGTGCGAAGAGAGCCAGCAGAGTTCACTTGTCCCTGACAGTCTGACTGACCCGAGGCTCTGAACTTTTCAGCCCCAATCTTTGCAAGGCTCAAAATGCCACAGAACCTCTCCTCCTCCCCACCCCCATGGCAGGGACTGGGCCAACCCAACGTGCAACATGCAGTTTCTCTGGCCCATCCCATTGCCATGGCAGCACAGGTACCTTTGGGGCATGGGGGCATCCCACGGGATGCTTGTACAATTGACCACCTAGCCTTCTCTCCTCCCCATCTTGTCCTCCCTGAGAATCACTTCCTAGGACACCCGAGCTGCTTGCCCAGGGTCCTGTTTCCCTGCTTACTCCAGAGAAACATCCCAGGGCTTTGTAACAGTCTCTGATTCCCTTCCCTTCTCGTTAAGAATCATATTGTATAGTAGCTTTCAGACCATACAGTATTCATTGGGTTACTCCTATTATTATCAAGTAGCTGGAATTGTGAAGGTCGGAGTAGTTAGATCTTTAGCTTTTATTCCTTATTTTTTTTGTATTACTCTCCATGTGTATAAATTATTGATCATGTTGCTGGCTTTTATAAACTCTAAGCAAAGGAGGAGCACTGCCTCAGCCTTTGCCAATGATAATGAAGCACTGTTTTTAAATAAAAGAGAGAAACACCATTCTTTGGCCTGTGTGTACTGATCCTTATTCCCTGTCACCTCCACCTGGGGTTCAAAAGTGCATCTTGTATTTGACTTCTTAAAACTGGGGAAAAGGAAAGCGACAGCATCCCCAGGGAGGACATTGAGTTACAAGCTGTGCAGTAGATGAGGCCAGCAGCCAGTGCTGTGTAGGAGCGCCCTCTGGCTCCTCCTGCAGAGCTCTCTCGAGGCTAACCTTGCGGTTTAACCTCTCTCTCCATCTCCTCTGCACTCTGCCTGCTGCCCCACTGTACCTCAGACACTACACCAGCATCCATTGCCAGCTGTCCCTTCGCCCTCCTTCCCAGACCTGGTTCGAGTAGACAGTGCTTTCCACTTCCTACAGGAAATGCACCCTGCTAGCCCATTCTCACCCATGCCCTTTCAGCCATCCCTTGCTTCAGTGGTTTCCCAGTCAGTATTTAATTCCCTCATGTCTAAAATTTCCATCATGTGCATTCTCCATAAATTTCCCAACTTCCTTCACTTAACCCATGAGATCATCATGCCTCTTCCATGGAGAAATGGGGGCCATCAGACAAGATCTCTGAATGAATGATGGCTAACAAATCTGTAAGGCTGATTCACCCACTTTCTCCTTTTCTCCTATCCAAATGGGAGAGGCCTGCACTGCACAGGTGAGCCCCAAACCTTTGCTCTGCACCCCACCTTTCTCAGTCACACTGCTTGACTTTCCTTCTTCAGTAGTTAAACTTCCATTCTAGAGTTCGTTGGGGCTTAAATCTTAAACTTTTTTCTAAAAATGTTTTCTGGCAAGATTCCAAGTTTTCTCCTTTGTGGCAATCTTCTAGAATAAGTATCCGCATGCTAACTCCAATTACCTGTCCTGGCCCTGCTGCATCCTGGCTTTTGCCTCCAGCACATGGAAGCAGCCCCTTATGGTGACAGCTAATAGATCCTTATCACATACTATCAAGGCTCCTTCACTTGTCAGACCACAGAAGCCTGAGGTATGGAGGACCTCCGCACTGCCACGCAGAAAGTGGTACCATGGCCTTGTCTGTCCCTCTCCTAAAGTGGCTCCCTGCCATCTTTTCTCCAGAACCCCACCTGGTATAAAAGAGGTACATTCCCTCAGCTAAAGTGCAGGCCCACTGTGTACATGGGATTACATCCAGCCCCGGGGTGCTCCGGGGCACATGGATCCATCCCTGTGATGCTGTTCTGTCACTCACTGCAGTGTGAGGAATAAAGCTCTTTGTCTCTGGCCCAGGTTTGTAGCTTCCATGAGGACCCATGAAACAAAAAGAGGCTAATGTATTTGCTTTTAAGGAAGGAGAACAGGTCTTGGACCTGACAGTATTGTTAGTCCCATTTTAAAAGCTGAGAAGGAACCACAGATGAACAGCCCAAATCACAAAATAGGAAGCCAGAACAGGATCCAAACCCAGGCAGTGTGGCTGTCCAGTGTGTGTGTGCCTTGACCTCAGCAGTTGTGTTCCCAGTGCTTCTCTTGGTGGACACCCCTTTGTGAATCCCAGAGCTGCCCCTGATCTTCTGTAGCATCCTTTTCTGCCGTTTCTTCCTCAAATCTTGCAATTCTCTGTGGCGGAGCTGCAGGTCTCTCTTCCTAAACTCCCAAAATATCACTAATTTTTGATAGCAAATTTGACCCTTAAGTGGTAAGGTAGAAACAACAAATTTATTTCTCCCATTTCTGGAGCCTGGGCAGTCCACGATCAAGGCACCCTCAGACTGGTAAGGAGGACCTGTTTCTCTCACTGCACCTGCTTTGTAGTCTTCACCTGGTGGAAGAGGCTAGCTGACCCCCTGGAGCCTCTTGTAAGGGCATTAATCCCATTCCTGTGGGCCTACTCTCCTGTCCTGGTTACCTCCCCAAAAGACCTAGGATTTCAACATACAACTTAGGGGAGAGACGCAAACACAGTACAGCAGTTCCCTAGGTCAGTAAATTGACAACAGTTGGTGATAAACGTGTTAAAAAATAAAAGGAAAACTGTTGCCTTGCTAGAGGGGGCTATGCTCTGCCTTGATCTGGGCCCGTGGCAATTCTGTTGCATTGCTCCCTTCCCCAGGGCTATGTGCTTGTTCAACCCCCATTCCTTGCTCCCCTCCTACTCTCCTTCCTCTCATGGTCCACAGACCCTGCCTGCTTCCTGCTCCTACAGCCTGGCTCATTCCCACCCCAGGTCTTCCCCCTGAGCTGTGCCTTCCGCCTGGAAGCCCTGCCCCAGCTTTTGTGCCTGTGGCCTTGGGTTAAACGCTTCTCAGGGAGACCCCTAACCACAAGGGCTTCATAAGCCCTCCCCTATCATGGTCTCCCCAACACCAGCTTGACTCCTTTCGCAGCACTCACCACCCTGGAGTGTGTGAAGTGACTACAGTTTCACCTGGATTCTCCTAGAAGCAATTTGACTATATTTTCCCTCCTCTTGAAACACCATTTTCCAGACTCCTCTATGTGGCACTCAAGGCCTCCACATGGTCAGGCCACCTTGCCCATTTGGTGTCTGTGTTCTTTGCCAGGCCCCAGGCCTGTGCTCCAGTCAGCCTGTGCCCCTCTGCTGCTCTGGATGGAATCCTCCACCTGCAAGGCCCAGTTCAGGCATCACCTCTTGGGCTTCCTCTGCTCATCAACCCTGTGTTCCCCAGGCCAAGCACTCACTGGCTGCTCTGACCTCTTAGCAGGGGTGAGTAGAAGCCGGTCTCCATGGTGGACAGAAACCCTCCTAACGTGACCCATCTTTATCTAACACATGCTGTGCTCTTTATCCATTTTATTTGATTGGCTTGAACCCCTTCCATTCACATGATTCTTCCTGTTTTGATGGGCTGTAACAGTGATATTTTTCTTTGGTTCAAGCTCTGCCCAGGTCTGACACATCCATCTGGCCATCACATGAATATTGATTTGCCACAAGTAGCCATGTTTTAGTGCCATTTGGAAATGCCCTGGAAAAATTGGATTTTCTGATAGATAATTGTGTACACATCTTTCCCCCAGCAGACTGTGAGCTTCCAGAGGGCCAAGAACCAGATTAATTACATGCAGCTTCCTAACACCTCTTGGGAGCACCTGCCAGAGTGCCTGTCATATAAACCATGCTGAAGAAAACATAAAGGACACAGGCTCAAACACAGTTGGGGATATGACAGGGGCACAGCGTGCTTCTCAGGTGAAGCCACACATAATTCCCACAGATTGTATTTAGACCAATTTTAAATTCTATTTAGACATCTGTAAGACCAGAGTCTGAAAAGTGGCTCCTGGCCTCAGGCTTCCATTTCTCTTCCTCCCCAAGGAGTGCTTGGGGAGTCGCCTGCTTCATGCTCCCAAGCTGCTGTGGTGCTTCTGAGTGCTGCATGTTGGGTTTGAAAAAAAGGACCAGCTCCAGGGAGCACCAGGCAGGCTTCTGTTCCCTCTCAGCTGCAGCAAGCTGTGTACTCTCAGGCAAGTCTGTCAGTCCGCCCACAGCTTCCCCATCAGCAGGTTATCAAGAGAAATTAGATGCTCGGTGGGGTCCTCCCAGTACCAACATGCTGATTCAGTATTACTGATAACAACTCATCTGTCCAGGTGAAAATCAGCCCTAAATGAATGCTCAGCCCCAGGAGTGGGATGATCTGGCCACTCATTTCCTCCCTTCTGGAGCGAAGTTCCGTGCTTTCTGGCACACACACACTGCCTGTGCACCCACCTCGCTCTATGGGAAGCTGCACTGGAACAGTTGTGCCAACACTGACCAAAGCTGGTGCCACCCGGCAGCTTGATGAGAAAATAATGCCTTGGTTTTGGAAACTACAAGTCTCAGCTCTCGACTGTACTTTGGACTTTTGTAGCCAGAGGTGCAAATCAGATTCCACGTACACACCCAGGCTGTGCACCTAACGGAAGCTGTGACTCTGAGGGACTAAGTGGGACCTGGAGAATCTGGAGTCTGTGAAGAGGCCAAAATGGTGCTGATGTGGCCCTAGTGAAACCAGCACTTGCAGTGATGTTGAGTAGGGATAGACAAGCTCTTTGTGGAAAGGCTGGGATTTATGCCGCCCTGCAGGTGCATCACGGTGGCAAAGGTGCCACCTGGTGCTGATGGTGATGGCTGCAGTGTGGAGGGAATTGGGTACCCTCTGCACTTTCAGTTTTACTGCAAAAACAGTCTTGATTTTTTTTTTTAATTTTTTATGCAGGGAGAAGCAGTCCAGCTCTAGGAGGGCTCATGGAAATCTTCAAGAGTCATGGGTCATGGTTCTGTGCCTCTCAGCCAGCTCACCCTTCTTGAGACCTTTGTTCTCAGGTTATCTCTGCTCCATCTCTATGGCAGCCTTCAGTTGTCAGGGCAAAACTCAACTCCTTAGCCAGGCACTGAAGGCGCCTTCAGGTTTTGGCCTCAAACCATCTTTCCAGGTTTAGAATTAATATCCTGAGCTAACCTGAAAGGCTATAGGGACCACCAGCACTGGGCTGCAGGCCTAGGCCTCCAGGGCAGAGGCCTGGTCTCTGTTTCGCACTGCAACCAAGGTTCACAAGACCAGTACGTGTGCGCCCCCTGCTGGCCACCTAATTCCTCCCCTTTTTCTCCTGGAGGCCCTTCCTACCACCTGCTTTCCCTAGGGGCCTTTGCTCTGACTTTCCCTCTAGTTCTCTTGCCTCTGAGCCCTCTGTGGCATGGCTGGGTTCCTGCCACACTCAGCTCGGTGCTGCGTTATTTTGGGTCCCTTGAGGCCAGGTGTGTGCTTTGTGCAGCTCTGTCTCCAGTACCAGCCATGGGCCCTGGCACTACCGGACCTAGCTCAATGTCCAAGGGCCTGCTGGGCCTACAGTGGACATCAGAACCAAGAATCCTCTGTGGGGCAAACGGAGAGGGACTGTAGGAGGAATCACGTCCAGCCCCTTAGCGATGGCTCTCTCCTGGTCTGAGAAGACAGCATCACAAGGCGTGGAAAAGCCCAGCTGTCTAGATTTGAAATACGGCTCCTCTGCTTCTGGGTGATGTTAG